AGTTTCCACTGGATCGATCCTTCTTCTTTTTAGAGTATCTCAAATCCAACGTTAGATTGAGATACTGGTTCTAAATGTCACTCTTTCCCTTACACTACATTTAATACATAAAGATGTGTGTGATTTCACCTGAAACATTTTTTTTTTAATTTAAACTTCGATAACCCTAACACAATCCTAGTCCACGCCCAAACAAGCTTTGCCTTTTTCGCTGTTACCCATGCCCATAACGCTGCGTTTTTCTGTATCTAATTAACCAGCAACAATGATTTACTCTATCACTTTAGTATATACTGAGCATGAGCAGTATCAAACTGTAGACCGAAACCAGTCGGAAAGCTAGCTCTGGCGGATTCTTAAATCTACCTGCATTTCCCACCTCCAATTATGCTCATCGAGTCAAAGGCCAACAAGGCATAGCGGTTAACCGTTATTTCATTGTTATTTCATGACTCCCCGGCTAACCTCTGTTTTATCGTCATAATCTGGCGGCGTTGTGATTCACCATACATTTTAGATGTCGCACAAACTTTTTTCTTATCTATGGGTCCAAACTCCAATGTTATAACGGAGGTCAAAAAGAAGCTAGGTCAGATGACGTGAAACTATATAAATTTGAACTCAAACTTTTAGTTTTGCATATGCATGAATGTGTCATGCCTTATATTATCTTATTAGGCCAGTCAAATTAAAATATATGTTTGCCTGACGAACTGTCCTTGTAAGTTTCATTGGACGACCAAAGACATTTTTCTAAGTATACGGACCATGTACCAACCCGGGCATGCTATATCATAGGCCCCCTTCAATGGCGAAATCATTGTGCTATAGATCGGGGCGGAATCAAGGGCGGATCCAGAACACATTTTTTGGGGGGAGGGGGGGGGGGGGGGACTAAAAAAGAAATTGGTCCCGATCCCCAAAAAGTGGGTCCCAAAAATTACGGCGTGGGGTTTGGGGCCCGCTTAAGGGCCCCGAAAATAATATTGATTCTAGATGCTCTGTGGTGCGATCTGAGGCAATTTCTGAGGAAAGATGGTGGAGTACGCAGTGTCTGCCTTTATTGCGACGTCACTTTAAAAAAAATTGGGTTCGTTTTTTTTTTTGGGGGGGGCATGGCTCCCGTTTGCCCCCCCCCCCGGATCCGCCCTTGGGCGGAATGTAATGAGGTCATCCGATGAAAACATCTATTTATCAGTTTTTATCGGTTGTTATCAGGGACGCTGGTGGCGTCAGACTCCAACACTGGGGTGGGGGGAATTGGGAGGGGGGGGCAAGGAAATAATTCGGGGGGGGGGGAACAAATTTCAAGTCTGTGTACGCGTGCGCGTACCATTGTCAATGGTCCGGAAATAAGCCACTGGGGCAACTTACAGTGTGGTCGTTTTCATGAATGGACAAGTGCAAGTGAGACATTTTTTAATCAGTTACTTATAAACCTTTGTATCCTTGAACCCTTTGCGTACCGTACCTCGTTTCTGTTGACACACTTTGCCGCCTGCAGTCATTGAGAAATGGCTGACCCTTTTTTGTTTGTTGCTGATGTGCGGGGTTTTTGACAAAATGTGGTGTTATCTATCGCAGAATCAGTGAAGAGACACATTCAAGGAAATCAACAACAAAAACAAATTTGGGGTTGAAAGAGTTTTTACAGTTTAAGTAAAGTTATTTTTTGTACCGAGTTTTCTTAACTACACGAAAACAAAGGAATGTCCACATAACGTATGTAAAACAAACGTGTGTGTGTAGGGGGGGGGGGGGAGCAAGAAAAAAACTTCCAAAACTGTTTCTTTTAGAGAATCGGGGGCCGCTAATATTCGTCTATACTATTCGTGAAAAGCTTTTTGATGTCGTACATTCCTCTCGAACAATGGCCTAGAGATTTCAGGGCCCAGGTTTTTCCCCCCAGTTTCCCCCGTATTATATAATCCTTTTGTCCAATATCGCCATTGACGGGGGCCGCTAATAATACTCGTCTATACTATTCGTGAAAAGCTGTTTTTCTGTCGTACATTCCTCTCGAACAATGGCCTAGAGATTTCAGGGCCCAGGTTCCCCCCCCCGTTTCCCCCGTATTATATAATCCTTTTGTCCAATATTTATTTTACGTTTTACATTAAATTGGCAATCGGCCTTGCGTCTAATAGGGCCTAGATCGGGGCGGAGTGCTATAGTGAGTCAGTTTTTATCGGTTTCTGTGTTACAGTTCAGCCATCCAGACTCAAAACCATTGCGTTTCAAGAAACATAATTATCTGGGAGCTAGATAAGCCAATGTAAAAAAAATTCTGGATGTCCGGCTCACGATGGAGGAAGGAATAGATAGGCAACATGCGAAACGCGGATTAGAAAAAAAAATCGCTAGTTCAACTCGTCCGAGCGGCTGACAACAAACTAAAACATTTTTTGACGTGGCCCTAAGAATTATTGCAAATATTGAATTGTGGTTGATAACGGGAACGCCGTGAAATGGGTTGTCCCGTAACACTAGCTCCCGTTGGCAATAATGATGATAGGGTCAGTCGTGGAACAGCATCGAGTGTGTTGCAATAGACTCCGGAATTTAACCATTTTTACGCGGGCCATGATGGAGGAAACAAGTACATAATGTGAATTTGTTCTAGGGGTAAAAACAAGAAGCCGTTTTCAGCATGGATTTCACCTTTCTATTGCTTCGGAATGGAATGATATTTGTAGTGCTGGCAGTTCTCTGTGTGGTTCAGTTTGTCGGCATCATGCTCCGAGTTCAGTATGCAAGTGAGTATATTGATGTGTTACCTTTGTGTTCCGTGTTTTAGTCTTTAGGCTTTTGGTACGAATTGGTACCGAAGATGATGTTAACTTGTGTTCTTTATTAAGGAGTCGGAAATTTTAACTGCCACTTACTTGGGGCTTTGACGTGATGTGTGGGGCTCAGTGCTGGGGAGGGGGACCTGATGAGCTGTTTGCTGTACAGTTATACGTTTTCCGTACAGACAAACTTTTCTCAATAATAGCCATCCATTATTTCATATACATGTACTGACCAAAACTGCCCATAGTTCAGAAAGTATTGACCAACGTATAGGGCCTATAGGTCTATACTTAGTACCGTTTTGTTTCAGAGACCGCAAAAAAAAAATCGATTTCACCGTGGTTCAATTTTGATCCAACCCACCATAGGCCTATATACTATACACGGGTCATTCAACACCCTGATGACGGTGATGTATGGAATGCAAAAGTAGAATACATTTTCAAAGGGGCCATATTTTGCTGTCCAATTCCAAATACCCTTTGCTATTCAAGGGCGGATCCAGGGGGGGGGGGGGGGCAAAGGGGGCCATGCCCCCCCCCCCAAAAAAAAACGAAACCAATTTTTTTTTTTTTTTTATGTGACATCGCAATAAAGGCAGGCAATGAGTACACCACCATCTTTTCCTCAAAAAAACATTGGTTAAAGTGGTCAGAAATTGCCTCAGATCGCACCACAGAGCATCTAGAATCCAACAATTTTTCGGGGCCCTTAAGCGGGCCCCGAACCCCACGCCATAATTTTTTTGACCCACTTTTTTTTGTGTTCTGGATCCGCCCTTGTTGCTATTTCCCCATTTTCTGAGGCGACACCACGAAAAATGATGCTGGAATGCTTTCTGTAACAATCCCTCTTGGAAGTTTTCATATACATTATTTTATGTAAGTAGGTCTGTGTTGTCTTATTCGATCAAAACACAAAGGGAAGTATGGTTCTCAGTTTCAGGTCCCTATAGCCGCCCTTCCTCGAGGAAAAGAAATGTTCAGTGTATAGCGAACGTTTCCGCTTTTTGGCATGAATCAACTCTTTTCCTTCCTTGCAGTTTTACCGACATTCTCGCCGGCTATAGCAGGTCGGTTTTATACAATGTCCTAGGGAAATGCATACCCTTAGCTGTATATGTTCTTAGTGAAAAAAAACAACAACAAACTACCACTTTTCTTTAGAAGTTTCTATAATTTCCCCCCAAAACTGCAGAAAATTAGGTCCTCTATGGTAATTAAGGTGAAAATGACGACGGGGTCCGCTCATAAGTCTACGCCTCATAAGTCTGACGCCTCATAAGTCCGAAATTTCGGACTTATGAGGCGTCGGACTTATGATACGGCCCGATGACGACTGTACGCTTTGCATGCCTTATGCCTTGAGCTGAGCCATTCTAGACGCTCAACTCGTTCTAATGAATTAAATTGTGTTCGAACCAATAATTTGACAACCATCATAATGATGATAAAAAATGTTGATGTTTACAGTTGTTGCGGCCTGAGGTAGCAAGGGAAACACGTAATTTGCGTGCAGACAAAAACAAATTATCAAATGAAGTTGTCGGGAAAAATTCTTTGTGGTAAATTTAGGGAAGGTATTAATTCAACACTTTCTACGAGATGCATGCATCATTTTGAACCTGAATGGAAGGCTGGAGCTACGTCGTCGTCATCCTGTGTATGTGCGAAGGCTCGGTGGAATTAGCAATGATTTTGTTCTCCCTATTGAGAAACATGCATTAATACGGTTTACGGAGGCACTGCGATATTATTTTACCACAGAATTAGTAAGCAAAATGATTGATATCAGGGTTCGACCGTAGCGGTAGTACACTCGCCAAATGCGAGTAAAAACAGCGGCGGGCTGGTAGTCATCAAAACCATTCCCCGTAGTCCGCCTGGCGAGTCGAAAATACTTTGTTGTGTATAAAAATTTGTTTAAATATCACTGTTTTATACTTATATTATCCAACTTTGTATTGGTTTATTGGAGAATTGAAATTGAATCGGTGCAAAAAAAATCAACAAAAAGTTCAGGGCGAATCCTTGCACCGAACTGATGGAGAGCGCACCCAATTTAAGTCTGCAGCAGCTGAACTTGTGTCGTTGGATTGGCCCCACCCTTTTTTTGACTTTAGACTCAACCACAGAGGGCGCTGTATGTTGTAGGCGGATAACGGCATTTTGCAATGGCAGCGCATTGACTAATCAGAGGGCTTTATTTTGACCGAGATCGAGGATCAATACGGGATTTTGTGTGCACAAGGTAGGCGTAGTATGGCACTGCATGTACTTGTATGAATCATGCACGCACCGGCACCGTGTTCGTACGATCGTGTACGTGTGACTTGCCGAGTGACAAAATGGTGGATAACTGAGGGATACTTCGGCTGATTTTCCCCCCCAATTCTCCGCGATTTATACTCCAGGATGTCATCTGAAACGTAGTGTGGACACCCTGGATCGTCCTCTTCACTCTGGTGGGTCTTCTAGGTGTGTTTCTTCGGCGTGGATTTTGTTTTAATTTGACCATGTCGACAGTCGTCCGGAATGGCTAGGTTCCGAGCGGGGATCTGTAGGGGACGGATTGTCAACGCAACTAGCGGGACAATATTGCAACACCGGCCGGGTGGGTGGACTACTCTGAACTCGCCGGTCGCTACTCGATCTTGTCAAATCATTGCCACAGATCGGCGGGGATTTCCGCCACATCATCTCTGACATCTGCGATCTTTGTTTCCAACGAGGTTTTGGACTACCCCAGCCGGTTTGTATACCGGTCGAGGGGGTAGTGATTTTTAGCAGTTCACCATGGCGCGTGTTTATATGATTATGGGAACAGTCGTTTACAGGACACACCACACATGGCTGTCGCGACTGTTCCTACTGTGTGTGACTGTTTTTATGGTCTGGACCGTGCTTATTTCGCTGCATTTAAAAAGTGGTGAGTATTGTCGACGCCATGGGGATGGGACATTGATCTTTTTTCCAATCTTTTACTTAGTTTTCCCATGTTTGTTTAGAGGAATACGTAGTGGCTATCATTACGACAGCTTTAACGCAATTTTCAAATGTAAAAACACAATGCAAAATCAGATTTACAACTGCCCAATCAACCAGAATGCTTAGGTAAGCCTATAAGAATAACTTGTTTGGTGTCATGAGCCGGGAATATAGGTTCGAAACCCGGGCCCTGCCGCAATACTCAATTTAAATAAAAATAAATTAATCGATTTCTTAACTTTTAAGGTTTGTAATCAAACTGTTCCTTTTTGGATTCATTTTCTTCTTTGAAAATGAAATTAGTGGTTTTTGAGGATTTAATCAAAATAAAAAATAAAGTCCGAGAACCATGTGGTGGTTCTACGGCCATAGATCGTGATGTTGAATACTATATATTATTACATCAGGGGGCCAGACAGTTCCGTAACGATAGCAGTTGCAAGTAACGTTACGGCTGCCGTAACGATAGCCATTGTGTAGAATTTAATCTGAGGGTAGGTGAAAAAATCACCAGTGTCTGACGTGATCAGCCAAATTTGTTTATTATTGGCTATTGCAGAGTTGTGCTTTGGGTTGTACACTTAAAGCGATTATTGAAAATGACAATAGTGGACACATAAACATGCAGTGGCCTTGTTAGGCGTGATTGGTGGATCCGTGCTATCGCCCAATTGGTCAATCACGCTGGGCTTTCGGTCGATTGTGCCGCCGTCGGTTCATTGCCTCGCCATCGGTCAATCACGATCTCGCCTTTTCTTTCTAGAATTCACGACTCTTGAGAATTGTTTTAGAAATTTAGCCCAAAAAAATAGCCCAAATCTACAGTTTTTGCAAATTCCATATATTTATTACCTTCAATTCATTAAAAGCAGGGAAAAAAAGTATACCTGGGATCTTGATACTGTTCATTATACATGTACCTCTGTCTCATTAAAATACTCCCAAGCTGAGGAAATGTTCAGTGGAGACCCCCATGAATGTTTTTGCAAACAGCACGTTAAGTTAATGTCCAATTGAATTTCAAATGGAAGGTATTTTGCATTTCATGGCTTGAATTCGACGTTAACTCGTCTGTGTCTGCATTTGCCATTTATGCAAGTTGAGATTGCCTGCGACGACTGTATAATACAAGAATACTAAGGAAAACAAAAAGTCTTGATTGACGCAGTAAACTTCTGTTGTTTTAACTGTTAGCAGCAGAATAAGAGAAGCCATTTCACATACGTGTATATGTTGTATGAAGGCCTAGTTTACTGTAGCCTTGGTCAAGGCATTCGTCGATAGTGTCCGTGATGGTATCCGGCCACCAACTTGCACTAGTAGCATGCTATGGACTTGTACAAGTGCGAACAGCGACCTGACGTACCGGTAGCTACACGTACATACAATATGTGCAAAGTAGATGGGGAAGAACGAACGCCTTGGGACAACCTATTCGTGTTGACTTATGTTTTTTCTTCATTTTTTCGCTGGATTTCCATTGAAGACATCGTATGCAAATTACTGAAATCATTTATCATCATCTTCCTTTAATGTGCAGAAACCTCTGGAGTATACTCGCACATTATACATTTATACGTGACATGAGACTTATAGCTATAGTCAAACATTTGCAACTATCCAAAAAGTAACTGACGTAATTATTGTTGACAAACATACTTGGTTGAAAGATAGTAAGGGGACTAAACTCCCTGTGAAATTATTCCCTCTGGCAAGCTGTCATTTTGAAGAATCAACGAAAGAAGGCCTTTCCAACGGTGCGTCTTAAGACGCACCATTGGAAATTTCTGTTAGTACCAATAGTTCGTTTTTTTATTCGGCGAAGATCGCGCAAATGTTGGCACGACGCACACGCGCGCTCGGCTGCTATAATTTGTTGGATCGGTGCGCGACATCGCATAGCTACAATCGGCTCAGTGAGAACGTGTCTCGGACGCTGAATTCAGGCCCAATTCAAAACATGATTCAGCAACTTTTGATTTGAAATCGAGATCCTAGAATGCTGTTATCTCAAAATAGACAGCTGAAGCTGAGCTGAAACTTCATCAGGTTAGTTGTTCAGCATCCTTTAGATTTTTAACATTTTTGTTGCTTCAAACGAACAAAATGCACAAATTACAAATGATGGACTATACCTTTAATTAATGTTCCAAAAACATTCCACTTGTTTACTGCACAGTATTAGATATTGGCAGATCTTTGTCCGTGGTCAGCCGCAGTACGGTTTCGCTGGAGAGAAAAAATACCGTACGTGGGGTGTTACCACGGGGTAGTTAATGATTAAACTTCCAGCAAAGGCCAAAGTCACACTACTATGATAAATGACCAGCGTTGTGTACATGTGCTACGTGCTTTTGCATGAATGCATCGACATTAATGAAATTTTCCTCGTACAGCATGCCAAGCTGCAAAATTCATCCAGGGAATTTCAGCGCAAATTCACACATTAAATTTTGAGACACAGCTCTATGTGCGCTTGTATTATTTGTATAAATTTAAGTGCAGTCGGTGATGCTATATATCATTTTTGGGATCGCAGATGTATTGCCGAAGGGTGGAGTGCAAAAGATCAGCATTTATTTGCCATTTTAGGCCACGTATCTGTGAAAAAGGAGAGTTTTATGTCAGAATAACATTTTTTTCAAATGCAATTTGAACTGGGATAGGAATAGATCCACGGCTTTAATACCTTGCAAGATGTTTTGAGCTCAGTTTACATTGTAAAATCTCGAGGGTTTGAAATTGCAGGATTTCAAACCAGACTATTGGACTGTAAATAGTTTGAAGGCCAGAGTACATTGCTGTTGCTGTTTAAAAATCCATTTTTAGAAATGAAAGTTTGTCTTTGTAATATGAACAAGTGCAAATGAAACAGCTTAGTATGATTATGTACAGGTATGGTTTATGGTATACCTCTGAACTTTGAGCATGATGGTGCGTTATGTTAATTGTTATCCTTCATTTAAACAGAAGTGCAATGTTTTGGAGGATTGAAGATTGTTCCTAGCAAAAAGAGTCTAAGGAGTTACATGTAGGGTTAATTAAGAAGCCCGACAAAATGGCCGCTGTGCAGTATTTATCCCCATTGCCACTGGGAATACATAATACAGACTCCAAAAACCATAAGCGCACATAAATGCTTAAACTGCTCGAACAAATTCATTACATTATGTTGATGCGCACAACCGTCTAGACACGGCCGTTTTCTCTCTGACCATTTATGTCATTGAAACCGTTTGCCTACAGCTCTGTAATATTCGTCAATAATGTACCACTTGTCCTTGTACATGTACATGTACTTATTCGAGATAATGCCGAAAAGATTGCACGTAATTATGCAATGCGACTCCTGCTTTGGATTTTGAGCCGTGGGAAATGCCTTCTGCGTCAATTTTAAAGGAGGCAGGCAGATCTTTTTAATAACTGGGCATCTAAAAAAAACATCTTCAGATACTTCAACCTTTTTGGGGGGGGGGAGGTTGCCATGATGAAATTAAATGTATTATAACAATGCGACTTCACATTAAATAAAAAAAAAAAAATTATATAACAGCGCTGCCACAGGCCTAGTCCAGTTTTGCCACAAACATGTATGAACAGAATTTCCTTAAGACTTTTGTCAGCATTGTCAACAAAAAATCTGTTTAAATTTTTCTTCGGTTTGCAACCCCTCCCCCCAAAAAACCCTTTTTAATCGCCATTTCTTATTAAAGGTTAACGACAGTTTTTAAAAGGAATTTGGATTCAATCTAGAGACGAAGTTTGTTAAAAAAATGTTCATGTACTTTTACATGTGTAGTGGAAGATCATTGTACATTTTCAGGTGTGGTCAGCTTAATTTTGCACATACCGTACCTCCTATTACATGTATTCATAATAATTTATTTAATAAAGGAATTTGACAAATTACGGCATGACAGAGCTCAAAATTGATTAAAAGCAATTAATTTTGTTGAAGCAGATTAACACACTGCACACTTGTGCGTATACGCTGCACACCTGTGTGCAAGCACCGTCCGTGTAGTTCTGACCTGAGAATGCACATCCACGCTCACCCACGTGAAATTTGCAGACCACTGCGAGCCACTGACATTTTCTACTGTCTGCATATTAAATCCTCGCAGGCCTGCCTTAATGTAATGTATGACTAAGGCTTCTGACTGCCAGCCGCGATGCGATAAGACGTTGGATTCACAGTGACGCATTCCCCAGTGGAAAGTCATTAGCACACAGTTGTCGCGGACAGGACTTATTATGACTAATTTAGATTTGCTTTACGTACATGTATCGTGTCATTGACCTATACTTACTCCGATATATAGTATTGATTGCTTTCGTATTTTCGCAGTAATATTTTATTTTAGTAGTACCTGTAAGTACATGTAGACGTTTTGCCACCTTGTATTGTAGTTACTGTACATGTACATGAACATACAAAAAAATCTACATTTGTAATTTGCTGAAACATTAACAATTTTTAAAACATAGCCAAAGAAATGCAATTTAGTACAAAGAACATGTACTGTGTATAATGTTTACTGGTTCGTGTACGTGTTATCTACTACATATATGTACATTTTGTACATTGTACTGTGCACGTGTTGCATCGATTGCGCGTATCAAAGCACGGAATTTGTCGCACCAGATGTCGGCACAGCGAATCCCATTTGCCAGAAATGCAATTCCAACGAGACGTTGCTGGTATTTGTGCATTGCTGACACTTGTTAAAGTTGTAACAGATGGGTTTTTCGCGCAATGATAAATTGGCATTTACTACCATTACTGTACATGTAGGTTTGCATTAAATATATACATTGTGTGTTTTTTTGGTGATGGCAATGATTATTGTCATACATGTACATTAAACATGTGTATTTCATGAACTGTACAACTGTACATGTACACGTGCATACCGGTACATGTATTCAGCAGAACAACAT